TAATAATGAAAGTATGATTTAAAAAACTAAACATATTTACGTATTCTGCTCTCTAAAGCCAATTGTTTTTATTTACGAAACATTGCATGTCAAAGTAGTTAGGTTTTAGTTGTGATCTCTTTTCGTTTACTATTAAAGCTGCTTTACTGTACATTCGTTCAGATTCTACTGATGACGTTAGGCCAACATAGTTGCCATATATTCTTTTATATAAAAGTATTGCCGATTTATACAATGCACATTCAATATTTTTGTGTCTTAAGTTTGGAAGGTTTTCGATAGTGAAAATACTTGATAGTTTTGAAAAACTATCGATAAGAAAAAATACCAAAACCATCGATAGTATCGATAGTGCCATCGATAGTTTGCCACCACTACACAGTCGTTGCTGATATTTTCGCTAGTTAAGCGTGTCGGAAAGAGCTCTTGGTCTCGTCGGATTTTATATGACTTGAGTATTTGCATGCGCTGCTCATTGTAGTGGCATTTCTATATATACATACTAGACTCCTGCGCAATTCCATTTAAACGGCCCAACAAGACATCCGATCGCCGCGCAAATACTTTCCATCCCCTACTTTCATCGTTCGGGTCAATTGTGAGTAAGCATAAACCAGTTTCAGCAAGCGTACGTAAACTACAGATCAATAGCAACACGCGTAGAGTATTTACTTTGCCTTCCGCAACTACTGCGAGTAAAACGTATTTGACAGTAGAGTACTCTACTGGTAGTACTTGAGTATTTTCGAAGAAAACATACATTTGTGGCAAGAATGATAGAAGAATTTTCTGGATCGCGCATTTGTGGTATCTGAAAAAAACTAAGGACAGGAATGTAGTGGAGCGATGAAGGGAGCGACGAGCAAAACGTACTTTCAACTAAAATGCTGATATACATACCTAAGTACATATGTATGTATGTGCATAGATACGTATGTGCATAGATACATACATATGTGCATAGATACGTATGTGCATAGATCGCGATCTGTACAGTGGTGTGCAATAAAATAGCAGTGTTCGATAGGCGTAGTTGAGGAACACATGAACGTGTATTTGTTTCCACCAAAATAAAAGATAATAAAAATAGAGTGAAATAAAATTAAATTAAATTAAATTAAAGTAATTAAAAT